CATTGGCTATTCATTCTGTTCCTCAGAAGATTGGCTAGGTATTCCATCAGTGTGTAGAGGGAAGTAGACTCTGCTCCCATGTATCTTGCTGCCATCTTAAGTATTAAAATGTTCATATAATTTTTCATAATTTTCAAGGTGAGTGGTCTTTTTTGGAAATCATTTATAAAATAATACAATGTTTAGACAACTATGAGGATAAAAATTTTCTATATTACTTGATATCTCCCTTCATGTCTTCTAGAAGTGTATGGAGGACCTTGTTGGTAGTAAAGATGGCTTTAATAACACCTTATATTTATAAATTAAGAAATCATCTCAGCTGGATTAGGAGTGTGGTGGGATGGTAGAATAATTCAGAAAGGCCTTGATGTCACAAAGCAAGCCTCAACAAATTCAAAAAAATTGAAATCATGTCAAGCATTTTCTCTGACCACAAGGGACTAAAACTAGAAACCAACCTCAAGGTAAAAACTCAAAAACACTCAAACTCATGGAGATTAAATACTATACTATTAAACAATGCATGGGTCAAGAATGAGATCAAGGAAGAAATCAAAAAGTTTCTGGAAACAAATAAAAATGAACTCAAAACAACCCAAAAATTATGGGACATGGTGAAGGAAGTCTTGAGAGAGAAGTTCATAGCAATACAGGCACACCTAAAAAAGATAGAAACATTTCAAATAAACGATTTAACCCTACACCTACAAGAACTGGAGGAATGACATCAAAGACAACCCAGAGTAAGTAGAAGGGAGGAAATGGCCAAGATCAGAGAAGAGTTAAATGACATAGAGTCTAAAAGCACAATTCTATGATCAATGAATCCAGAAGCTGTTTCTTTGAAAAGATAAACAAAATTGACAAGCCTTTAAGGAGGCTGATCAAGGAAAAAACAGAGAGGACCCAAATAAACACAATCAGAAGTGAAAGAGGAGAGACTACAACTCATACCACAGAAATACAAAGGATTGTAAGAAATTACTACAAAGAACTATATGCCAAGAAATTTGAAAACCTAGGTGAAGTGGACAAATTTCTAGAAAAATCTAATCTTCCAAAACTGAATGAAGAAGCAGAAGCCTGAACAGACCAATAACAACTGACAAAATTGAAGCAGCCCATGCTGCTTCAATTACTACCATGGGTAATCAAAAAACCCATGACACACAAAAGCCCTGGACCAGATGTATTCACAGGAGAGTTTTAAAAAACATTTAAGGATGAGTTAACCCCTATCCTTCAAGGACTATTCCAAAAAACCCAAAAGGATGAAAGACTCCCAAACTCTTTTTATGAAGTCAACATCATCCTAATCACAAAACCAGATAAAGACATACAAAGTAAGAACACTTGAGGCCAGTATTGCTGATGAACATAGATGTTAAATTCCTCAACAAAATATTGCAAAACCACATCCAGCAATAAGTTTAAAAGATCATATACCATGATCAAATGGGATTAATCTCAGGGATGCAAGGATGGTATCATATTCACAAATCAATAAATGTAATACATCACATAAACAAAAGGAAAGACAGAAATTACATGATCATATCATAGATGTGGAAAAAGGATTTGATATAGGATCCATTTATGATAAAAACTCTCAACAAAGTAGGAATAGAGGGAGTATTCCTCAACATAATAGAGGCCAAATACAAGAGACTTAGAGCCAGCATCATATTCGATGGGCAAAAACTAAAAGCTTTCCCAGTAAGGTCAGGCACAAGACAAGGATGTCAACTTTCACAACTCTTTTTCAACATAGTGCTGGAAGTCCTAGCCACAGCAACCAGATAAGAGAAAGAAATAAAAGGCATCCAAATTGGAAAGGGAAAACAAAACTGTCACTGTTTGCAGATGGCATGGTAGTGTACAGAGAAAATCCTATATCCTCCACTAAAAAACTACTTGACCAAAAAAATTAATTTGGCAAAACTGCCAGATACAAAGTCAATACTCAGAAATCAAAGGCACTTTTGTACACCAACAATGAAACATCAAAAAAAAAAAAAAGAAACCAGGGAAAAAATCCCATTTGATATAGCAACAAGAAAAATAAAGTACCTAGGAATAAACCTAACCAAAGAGGTAAAAGACCTGTACTCAGAAAACTATACAACACTGAAGAAAGAAACTAAGAAAGACAGAAACAAATGGAAGCATGTACCATGCTCGTGGATTGGAAGAATTAACATCATCAAAATGTCCATACTACCCAAAGCAATTTATAGATTCCACACAATCCCTATTAAAGTACCCATGACATATTTCACAGATATAGAACAAACACTTCAAAAAATTCATATGGAACTATAAATGACCCTGAATAGCTGCAGCAATTTTGAGAAAGAAGAACAAAGTAGGAGGGATCCCAATACCTGATATCAAACTGTATTACAAGGACACTGTCATCAAAACAGCATGGTACTGGCATAAAAACAGGCACATAGACCAATGGCACAGAACAGAGAGCCCAGAAATAAACCCAAGACTCTATGGTTAATTAATATTTGACAAAGGGGGAAGAATCATAAAATGGAGTAAAAATATCATCTTCAGCAAATGGTGTTGGGAAATCTGGGCAGCTACATGCAAAAAAAATGAAACTCAACCACCAACTTACACCACACACAGAAATAAATTCAAGGTGGATAAAAGACTTAAATCTAAGTTGTGACACCATAAAAGTCCTGGAGGAAAACATAGGCAGGAAAACCTCAGACATTCCACACAGCAATATTTTCACCAATATAGAGAAAGGGACATAAAGAGACCTCAGCAAATTAGTAAGCTTCTGCATGGCTAAAGAAAACAGCATTAAATTAAAAAAGAACCAACTGTATGGGAAAACATATTTGCCAATGATACCTTGAACAAGGGTTTGATGTCCAAAATATATAAAGAACTCACATGACTCCACTCCAGGAAGACAAACAACTGAATTAAAAAATGGGTAAAGTTCTTGTACAGAGACTGTGAAATTAAGAACAAACCGATAGTAACCAGAGGGGAGGTGGGAGGTGATAATGGCGCAGGGGAGGGAAAGAGTTTAGGAACATGTATAGAGGATATGTGGACAAAACCAAAGGGAGGTAGGAACAAGGGTAGGGTGTGGGGATGTCTGGGGTGGAGGGGGAGTGGTGGGGAGTAAAATGGAGACAACTATACTCAAACAACAATAAAATAAATAAATAAATGAAATATAGAAATTCATCATCACCAAGTCCTTATTATATGAAATGTTAAAGGGGCTTATCTAAGAAAAAAGATGAAAAATATTAACAGTAAAATGACAATAAACTCACAGCTATCAGCAACTGACCTAAAAAAACAAAAACAAAAGAAACTAAGCAAACAACTAGAACAGGAACAGAATCACTGAAATGGAGATCACATGGAGGGTTATGGGGAGGGAGAGGTGGAGGCGGGTAATGAGGCAAGGTACAGGGAATAAGAAGCGTAAATGTTACCAAATAAACAGGGGGAGGTTAAGAATAGTTTAAGAAGAGATTAAGAATAGTATAGAAAATGTAATAGCCAAAGAATTTATATCTGTGACCCATGGACGTGAACTAAGGGGGCTGGAATGTGGGTGGGAAGGGGTTGCAGGGTGGAGTGGAATAAGGGGGAAAATGGGACAACTGTAAAAGCATAATCAATAATATATATTTAAAAAGACTATGATGAACATTTGTACCTACATTGTCTCCTTCATTTTGATTACATAAAATAATCTCTGTTTAATATTATTATTATTAGTCTTAAACTCCTCATCTGAGGATATATCCATTGATTATTTTTTTAGAGACAAAGGAAGGAAGGGAAAGAGAGAAACATTAATTGGTTGCTTCTGTATGTCTGGACTGGGTATCCAACCCACAATCTCAGTATGTGCTCTGATGGGAAATTTAATCTGCAGTTTTTTGGTGTATAGGACTATACTCCAATCAACTCAGCCATCTGGCCAGAGTGATAGTCTTTAAATTACATGGAGATTGAATTCTCTAAGCATCTTTGGTCTCTTTGTTTAAAAAGTGTGCTTGCTAGAGACTTACATGTAGTTAGCTATGGGCAAAATAATAGGATGTGATAACTGGGATTTGCTTCAAAACACTCTAGGAAAAAACCTGGGGGTAGTGGATGACAGTTAAGGCAAGGCTGGTGAAATGTTTATGGCTGTTGGAACTGAAGATGGGTACAGGGGGATTTATCAAGTACTACTGTCTTTATTTTGTGTGTTTCTTCCCACTTTTCTTCTCTTCCTCTCCCTTCTGGATTTTTTGTTGTTTCTCCCGTGTGTCTTTTAGATATTTGTTGCCCCATGCTGCCCTCTAGATCCCCCCTTTTATTCTCAGAATCAGTCATCCCTGATACCTGCTTTATAGTATTCTTTATCAAAAACTCTAAGCCTATCCTTCTATCCACCCATTCAGAAATTCATTCACATAAAAAATTTGAGCCTCTGTTTTGGGCAAGATACCAGAACAGGTGCAAAAGGTAGTCACTTTCATTGTTTTAGGTGTTACCAGACAGCTGTTAAGAATAATGCAATCATAACTTATTTTGTACCACAAGATAAGAGATAGATAATATCTTAATGCTCTTGGGAAGAACTGTATTTTAGAAGAGGAGCCAAGTGCTCTCTGGTGGGGTGAGCAGGGTGATAAAGCACAAGGGCACAGCGGCAGGCAGAGCTGGAAAAAGAGGGTCTTCTCCTTCAATACCTGCCTCCTCTGTACCACCTTTTTGCCCCGTGTTTTTCAGCCTTTAAGAATTTCAAACTCAGAGCTACATTTTGAGATCGCATTTTTTAGTAAAATGAAAACTTACATATTAAGATCCTTGGAATTTTTGTAACCTTTAATATATAGCATTAAAGAGTCTCAAGTGCTTAAGGAAATTAATATTTTATATTCATGTTGAAAAAGCACAAGTCAAATCAAATGGCTTAAATTTCTATTCATTTCTTAAAGCATTAGTAGATTGTAAATGTTATGTGAGCTAAATGAAATTGCAATCTTTCTGATTTTGAAAGTCACAATATCAAAAAAAGAAAAAAACCTCAAGGTGGTTCTTGACTCCCTGAACTTGGACACCTGGAGGTGTGACTGTACAGTCTCACGGGTGCCTGTGTCTTGCAGGGTTTGAGACTTTCTTGGGCCTCCCATGGCTTCTTCACAGGCCTCTACCTTTGCATTCTTTAGCTTGGATTCTGTTTTATTTTAACTTGCCAGTCTCCCTCACTGGTCTGTGAACCTTCGTGGGAGGACAGGGATTCTGTACTCTTCAATGCCTGGAATGTAGCTGGGCCTTCGTTAAATATCAGTTGAATAAAAGACTCTCTCACCCCCCCAAAATTTTTCTTTAAAAAATTCTCATAGATCTCCCTGATAGATTCTCTTCATTCTTATACAGACTCCAAGATGGTCTCATTCTTCAGCCTGATTATGAAGACCTCCTGATGACAAAGTAAATGCTTCAAGGAGACTGCCTGCCAGAAACTCAAAAACACTGAATGATTCCTCTGCAAAGGACTGCCTAATACAGAAGGGGACACCCACCAAGTCATTGAGAATATGCCTTTGCCACCAGCTTTCTCTTTCCAGAAACGGGGTGGTTAACCTTTAAATGTAAACTGTTCAGTGCTTAGTTTTTTCAACATAACTGATTAAATATTTCCTAGTAATTAAAAACCCACAAATGATTCAATTAGAAATTTACTGTGAGCACAGCAAGTCAGCAAAAGTTTATTGTTAGGCACACCAGGTAACAGAGTAGTGTATGGCTAAGTGCTTGGGCCAACTTTCCTTGAGTTCTCCTCCACTGGCTTCTGCTGTCAAATTTCCCTTCTGTATTTGGAATGGTTTGTCTTGGTGGATTGGTTTGTTGTTACGAGAGGAGGGATAGAATTGGGAAAAGGCAAAGCAGAAGAGGGAACATGGGTGAATGCAGCCTTCATTTTGGGCCTGTTACAGGAACTTGGGGCAGTTCACCTGATCTGTGATGGTCATTTTCTCGATGTCAATGTTATTAGAGGTCAGAATATCTTTTAGATAGGTCACTGTTTCTGGAGGAAGGTAAGGGTTTCTTCCCAAGATCCAAACATGATCTACGTGGAACAGCCAGATGATTGTGGTACAGGAGTACATGAGGGCATAGTTCTCGTAGTCGGTGGCCAGGACCCAATACGGAGCTGAAGGCATCACTGAGAACCAGACAGAGGAGGACAGTATTAAGAGGGACCAGAGCAAGAGCAACCTTCATCTTCAGAACCTAGAAGTCACATTCTGGGGTCCTGGTTCTTCTAAATCAGTGGTTCTTAATTCTGGCTTCATGTGGAAACTGTTTGGGTGCTTTGCAAAATATCAGTCCCACCCCACCAGTAATTCTAATATGCAGCCAGAATTCAGAGCTAACATTCTGGATCCTCCCTGATAGGATCTGGTAGCAGGTTGGTCTTGGGAAGCCCATAGTAACTGAGGGGTTTGGCTGGACCCCCTAGACTGCCAGGTTGCACTTAGCACTAGTGTATATGAAAGCATGACTTAGCTAAGCACTGTACAGAATGTAAGGTCAGGGTCCTCAGGCTTTGTAAGCCAGTATCAGCCAGCTTCCTCTAGAACTTGACCAAGGGAGGAGGCAGGGGCTAATGTTAGTTTGTGTGTTTTTCTTCCTGCCTGCTCTTTGAAAATCTTCCCATTCTTAAAAATATGGTAAATCAGGTGGCAACAGATTATAAGCTCTTCCTTACAAAAAGTCTTATAAGGATTCATTGATTGATACCTGTATAGCATTGAAAGCCCAAAATTAAAGGGGTCCGTAAGAGGAGAGGTGGGGGATTTACCCTCTTCATCTAAATCCAGAAACTCCCTCTGTGAATTTGACTGCCACAGTCAAGCTTCAAGACAAGGGAAACTCCTAACAAAGCTTGTTAAATTTAAGTGGAAGACTGACCCACATGGGAGAGACATGTGTGCTGACCTCATAAGAACAAAAGACTTGGACACATGCAGTACTGGGAGATTTGCTTTCCCGGGTTTTAAGCATACCACCCCCTCCACTCAAAAATAATCTCACTGTTGCCCAGTCAAACCAGAGCTAAGCCACTGGACAAAGAAGGCAGTATGAGTGTGGTTAGAGTGTAGCTAGGGGTCAAGGACCCTTAGAATGTGGTGATGGTCAGGATCCAGGAGGCGTAGTTTAGATGACCACCCACTAAAGCATCTCCTATCTCTGACTCTCTATCTGTTTGTAAATATAAAAACAGAAGGACACTTGGAGGATGTCTGAATGGAAGCCTGGACAAGGCTGCAGGAGTTAAACTCAGTATTGTTTTTAAATTACATTTCTATCACTGTTGGTGCTGCCTTCCTGACTCACTCATGAGAGCATATATTCACCATATATCTGCTACCATTGAATTTCAACTGCTTTGTGTGTTCCCCACTGGACTGAGAGCTATTCATCCCTGAGTGATATGTCATCAGCAGCACTGTGCCCCACTTTGCACACACATTCAGGCACACACATTCTGTCTTCCACCCTATAGGATGTAGCACTGAAGCATAAATTTACCCAGATATTTTCCTTTAGTAAAGAAAATGTCTATGTCTATTAGAAAACTTTGACAGTCTCTCATTTTTCATGGAAGAACTCTCTAACATGGCCTTGGGGACCTGCCCCACCTCCACCCCATCTTGTCTCCCACTTCATGGACCTTTCAGGCCTTTTCTGATGCCATTCTTTCCACGTGGAACATCCTTTCCCATAATCTTCCATATACCCTGCAAAACCCAATGTGAACATCTGATCTCTTCAACCACAATAAATCTCTTCCTCCTCTGCTTCCCCAGCCACTCTTGCCTCTTTTAGTTCCTATTTAAGGCTTCCTTATGAAGGTTGTACACATACCTTTTGACCTTCACACCCATCCCCATCTCTCAATTGAGAGTTTGGATACCTAGGTTTTAGTCCCAACTCAGCCTCTAAGTAGTCCAGCGACCATGCCTATATCACCTAGCTTTTCTTTACCTCACTTTCTTACTTGTAGAAATCACAAGAGAAACTGACCTGTAGAGAGCCCTTTATAGCTTACAGAGCATGTGTTATCTAAGTTATCTTCACAACCGTAAGGGTAGATGTAGAGTTGCCCATGGTCATATGTGTGGGAGAGACTGTTCTCTCCTCCTCTCAGCATTCCTATCTTGGTCTATAGAATAAGAACTTCCTCTCTGCCCTACTCTAGGCCCTTCACCTATGTAGGGGGGCTGGGGGATGAATGAATCTTCTTGCATCTGGTGACTTCCATGTCTGCCCCAAGCCCTTTTGGCATTAGAAAACCTCACAGTTCTGAGCTGAATCCTCCAGTGTATCTATATCAGCAACAAAACTAATATATGATGCTTACTCTGTTGTCTGTGGGTATTCCTCAGTTAGCCCAGAATTCAGAGGGCAAATGCCTGTGATTAAATATCTCTCAGGGATCCCAACAACTACATTTACTTTTGTCAGTCTCTTATCTCCAAGCTTTTGTACATGTTAGCTGTTCTGCTAATAACTATTAATTTTTCAGGCTTTAGTTTCCATTAGGGAACAAGACTGGACTGGATCTCCTACTGCTTCGATCTGTGCTTCCTCTGTTCAAACACTCACTGTAGTTTTATAGTAAACTGCCTGGGACAAGGGTCAGCCCTGTCTTCCTCATCATTGCACCTCCAGCAACTTGCCCAGTACCTGGCATAGAGTAAGTGCTCAATAAGTAATTATACATTGAGTCATTATGGATGACACCCAGATGTGACACAAGTGCTCTGGCCCAGGGCTCTAGTCCTCAGTGTGCCCATCTCTATTCCCTGAAGCCTTCTGAGGGAAGTGAGTACTTACACCAGAAATACTTCACTTCCAACTTGGCGGGCTCTGTGAGGTTAACCAGGGAGGCTTCACCTTCAATTTGATTCACACTTCCATCAGATCTGCAATGAGTTAAAAAATAACCTGAACTCATTGAAAGCCAACAATCAATGAGAGGCAATAATTGTTGTACTAGGAACCATAGTGGCCAACATTATGATTTCTGGTTCCAGAGGATCTCGAAGGAAGGTTAGACTCTCGTTTCATTCTGTCCCTTTTGCTTTGTGACTGTCTCTAAGACCAAGCAGAGGAATACAGACTTGGGGCGATAAAACGCAGTGATTGCATTGATCTAGGACTCGACGCTATGTTAGGCTCTTGCGCTTCGACACTGTCTTTTGGACTACGTGAAATGCTCTGAGGCCCCTTCTAGTTCAGCAAGCTTCTGATTACATGTGGGAAGTTTTGATGTAGGCCAGGTAAAAGCAGTTGGTGAGCAAACATTGACCTTATTTCAGTGATTCTGAGGTATATTCAGGTCTCAGAGACATTAAATATGAAGAAATGTGCATCTTACAATTAATAACATCCTATACTTAAAATTGGAAGTGTCATTTATTTCTTAGTGGTACAAGATAAAATGGTATATATATAAAAGTCATGGTCTTAGGTTGTATGAAAAATTTTCACTGTTTTGAAGGGAGCTGACGCCATTTCTGGATAACTCCCGGTAACCCCATGGACACACGGCAGAGGAGAAAGGCTTGGGGATGGAGGCAGCACACAGGGTGGGTGCTCAGACATTAAGGGGTTCTTCCTAGGAAGACAGGAGAGGAGCTGCTTGTTCATCAGTCCTCGAGGGGACAAACTAAAATTGGAGAAACAGTATGTGTCAGAAAGTTAGCAGGCGATGGTTAGTGGTGATGCATGTCCTGGGAACCATCCTGTAAGAACCAGGTAAGGGAGGGTGGGACATGTAGTGTGATGGTCCTGGATGCACTCTCTGTTTGTCATTGAATAGGGCCAGAGAAAGCCCTGGTCTCTGACCTGGAACTCAGCTGTTGGGAAGATAGTCCATTTCTATCTGCACACAGTTGCTTAGCAACAAATCAATCTCTTCCCATCAGGCTTTTCCTCTTTTCACTATTATTTGTGTTCTGCTCCAGAACACTTTTTAAAATACCAGTCTCTGACCAGAAACTCACTTATTTATGGGAAAATGCATGGGTATTTTCAAGGGTAGCAGCAGATTAAAAATAATAGGGAGTATTTATTAAATGATTACTATATGCCAAATACTGGTCTAAGTGCTTCACACATGTTGACTCGTTCTTGCTCACAAAGCCTTCTGTGGGAGGTACTATGATTATTGCCATTTTACTTAGGTGAAAAGGGAAGCCTAGAGATAACCTACAGATAACAGATAACCTAACATCAGGTCATTAGTAAGTGGCAGAAGCAGGATTTTAGGCTGGATTTCAGCCTTTCTCAAAAGCCTAAGCGCTTCAGCTCCCATCCCTGTGCCAGATGCTTTGTCCTTCAAATTTTGTGATACTGACTAGTGTTTTGCTCAGACTCCCTGCTGTGGCTTCCACTTACTCTGCAGTACTCCTGGAAGGAGAATCTACAACTAGCAAACCTTTCTTCATATCCCTTTGTACCTTATGATCCTAGAGGCAGAGCAATCGAACACTCAGGATTCTTGCCAACTCTGAAGGAGAGGTGGGGGATCGCATGGATGTTGGGATCTGTGTCATTGTCTGACTCTTGGTCTTCAAATGGGATAAAAGATTTGGAATAAAGTCATTGCAGCTTCAGGGCTTGCAAAATTCCTGTGATGTTCTGGGAGTCTACATCTCAATTCCTGTAGCCCTTCCTGGGCTCTGAAATGAGCTGAACTTCCCCCTAGAGACCCTCAGAGTCCTTTGTTTCTTTGGTTCATGGAGGGTCAGAGAGTCAACCCATTGTGCTTTGGCTCACTGGAAGCTTAGTGAATAATAGGGTGGCCTCAGAAAGTCCCTCTGAGCCTAAGTAATTTCCAGGCTGGGTTGTACTTATTTTCTTGGAGTTGAACACAATTTTCAGATTCCCTAAGGAACAGGAAGGACGGCCTTACATTCCCACCTTTTCTTTGATTTGTCTTTGGTTCTCTTCCCCTGGGTTGGAATCTCAGCTTCGTCACTTATAAGCTATGTGACACTTTGGCAAATTACTTTACTTCTCTGTACCTCAGTTTCTTTATACATAAAAATGGGGTTAGCGACAGCATTACTTCAGGATTGTTATGGTATTAAATCAATATACAGGGTGGAGAAAACTTGGGTTTACACTTGTGAGTATGTGAAACACAGAGTTTATTCTTGTACTATTATTTATTAATTGCATTATTTTCCATACCAACAACTGTAAACCTACTTTTGCCCATCCTATATACATACACACCCATACATATAGGTACATACACATGTATATATACATATATACACAGAATAGTGCCTTGCCCATAGGAAATGATTAACAACTGTTAGTTACTGTTTTTATTGTTGTTCTTATTTTTGTTGATAGAGGATGGATAGGAGTTTTCCTGAGGCTTTTTTTAAGTTTATGGCTGCTTTTCAAAGTGTGAATTTGAGGATCAAACATCAATCTGTAAGAATCATTCAGTAATAGAAAAGTACAATTCTATAGGATATCCTGTTCACATAATCTAGAGTGCATCTATTTATGTATTTGGTCCTTGCTTAATAAGAAAAGGAATTTTCTAAAGGCCAAAGCTGTCTGGAGATTGGATAAATTATCATGGATGATGATGAGTACCCAGTTTCCTGGAGGCTTCAAGCAAAGCTTGATGCCCTCTGTCAGTAGGTGATATAGAAAGGGCTTCTCTCTTGGTTTGGAGGTAAGACAAGATGGTCCCTGATGTCCTTTGCTAGTAGAGTCTTCATTTGCAGTGAGAACAGGAACCTGCAATTTGGGTTACCCTTGAGTCCCTAGTGCCTCTCACAGGATCCAGTGCCCAATAGGTGGTTAGCAAGTGGTCATGGAAATGAGCGAATGACTTCTAAGTCCCACCATACTGCCTGCCAAAAGCTGTCCTCTCAAGGTCTGTTGTAAGCAGGCAGTCCAGACCTAGCAATGATCAAATCTTCCATTAACTAGACTGCAAGGGCACCCAGTCACCTGAGGACAGCTCTCTGCAGGGTTGGCTCCAGGATGTGCAATGCCTTTGAAACCACAGCCACTCACCTCAGCTCCTGGTTTACCACTTTGATGTTTCCATTTTCCATTAGTGAGTAGTTGGCTTGGATGCACCTTCCCTTCTCAAAGCTCACTGGGATCTTCTCAATTTCATACCATCTTCCAAGATACTGCAGAGACAACAAGTAGAGCAAAGCCTTGAGCCTCTCTGGGGACCAACAAACTCTTCTCCTTTGTTATCTTTCAGAGCAGAGCCCTTTCCTGGGGAAACCAGGAAAAATGGGCTACATTGTTTCCACTGGCAACTGAGCAAGATACTGATTGAAAGGAGGATAAGTGAATTAGATGTGTGGGCACTGGTTGAATGCCACATTCTGTCCCTAAAGTGCTCTTTATTTAGATACACTCTGTGTCCTTTTCAGCCAAAATCTACGTGAAATTTAAAGCTCTGTCAAAGGAAGAGGTTCATTTAGATCAATGATCTTCAACTGTGAACAAGAATATTTAAAACATAAAATACCTTATTATTTATTCAGGGCCACAGACCTCTTTTCCTGTAGATTGTCAAATAAAAATATGAAAACAGACAACACAACAGTAGCTGTCTGGTGTGAATGAATCAAAATGATATCTGTTTTTGTCAGATCAGCAAAAAAATATTTTTTTTTGGTGTGCCACAGAATTTTGGTTGGTAGTTTATGTGTGCCATGAGATTAAAAAAGTTGAAAATCGCTGGTCTGGTTGATGTAAGGTGCCATCTCAAATGTTATATGATTCTTCAAGACACCTTTGAATTTTGTACAAAGTCAGATATGTTCACCGTGGGATTCTAGAGGTGATTGAATTCTCCTCATATCACCCCAACTTTGTGAGTTGGCCACAAAGGCTTTTGGAAAATGATCAGGATTTTTTTTTATCCTCACCAGAGGAATTTTTTTTTCATTTATTTTAGAGAGAGAAGAAGGGAGAGAGAAACATCCACATGAGAGAGAGGCATTGATTGGTTGCCTTCCCTATACACCCAGACCAAGATCATAAGCGTCTGCACCTTAGCAGATATGTAAACCCACAGCCTAGGTATGTGCCCTGACCAGAAATTGAACCTGCAACCTTTTGTTTATAGGATGATGTTCCAACCAATGGAGCCATACCAAACAAGGCAGATGATCAGGATTTAGATAACTTGTATCATTCTTCCACTGGAAACTTGCTCTCAGTTCATAACCCTGGTGTACACAGTCACCTTTAAAGTAAGTACACAACTGTGTGGACAGACACCCTCATGTATTCATACATTGCTTTGCATAGAGATTGAACCAATTTACAACCTTCATGGAGGGTGACTTGGCAATATATAGCAAAAGTAAATACGCATACACCCCTTGTCCCGGCCAATTTCACATCTAGGAATGTATTCTCTGATAATTAGAAATGATGTGTGTGTAAGATTATTTGTTGCAGTACAACTTGTACTAATAAAAGAGAGGAAAGAGTTTCAGTGAACATTAGTAGGGGGATGGGTAAATAAATGATATTTATACAGTGGAATGTTATACATCTTTTTTTAAAAGAGTAATGTGCAATTATCTCCAAGATACAGTAAACAAAAAGACCAGTAGTATATATACTATGCTACATTTTGTGTAACAATTGGGAAAGAGTTATTAGTTTTTTATTGCTCTTGTAATAAATTGCCATAAACTTAAAATAACACAAATTCACTTTCTCATAGTTCCATAGGTAAAAAGTCTGACACGGGTCTCCCTGGGCTAAAATCAGGATGTTGTCAAGGCTGTTTCTTCCAGAGGCTCTAGAGGAGAATCTGTTTTCTTGTATTTTTCAGGTTCTAGAGTCTCAATTTCTCTATTTACATAGGAAAATGCAATGTTTAAAAAGAATCCTAGGAAGAAAGAAGTATAACTATCTCTATTTGCAGACCACATAATTTTGTACACAGAAAATCCTAGTGAAACCATAAACCACAAAACTATTAGAACTAATAAAGGAGTTCATTAAGATTAAAGGATAGAAGATCAATACAGAGAAATCAAATACATTTTTACATTTACAATGTTCAATCTGCAACTAAAATTAAGAAAATTCCATTTACAATAACATCAAAAGAATAATACTTAGAAGTAAGTGTAAGCAAAGAAACATAAAACTTGTACTCTGAAAACTACATTGTTGAAAAAAATGAAAGAAGAGCTAAATAAATGTAAAGGTATCTCATGTTCATGAGTTGGAAGGCTTAAATTTGTTAAGATAGCGATTGATAGACACACAGATTTAATGTGCAGTAATCTCTATTAAAACTCCCAATAGGTTTCTTTGCAGAAATTAACAAACTAACCCTAAAATTCATATGGAAATGCAAAGGACCCAAAATAGCCAAAGGAACAAAGTTGAAAGATGCATACAGTCCAATTTCAAAACCTAACTACACAACTACAGCAATCAAGACTGTATTGTACTGGCATAAGGATAACTATACAGATGAACAGAATAGAATTGAGCGTCAAAGTAAACCCTCACATATATGGCCAATTGATTTTTGACAAGAATGCCAAGACTATTCAATGAAGAAAGAACAGTCTTCTCAACCAATAGTTCTGGGACAACTAAATATCCACATGTGAAAGAAAAAGTTGGCCCCTATATCACACTGTATGCAAAACTTGACTTCAAATGGATCACAGACTTAGATCTAAAAATCTTCAGAAGACAATATAGTAGTAAATCTCTATAACCTTGGATTACGCAATGGCTTTTTAAATATGATGCCAAAAGCACAAGCAACAAAAGAAAAAAATAGATAAGCTAGACTTCATTAATATTAAAAACTCATCTGTATCAATAAAATAAGAAGACAATCCATGGAATGAGAGAAAAAAATGCAAATCATATATTTGATAGGAATTTGTATCTAAAAGATATAAAGAACTCATATCTCAATAATTAAAAGATAAATAACCCAATTGAGAAATGGGCAAAGGACTTAAATAGACACATCTCCAATAAGCACATGGAAAGATGCTCAACATCATTTGCTGTTAAAAGAATGCAACTCAAAACTACTATGAGATAACACTTCATATCCAGTAAAAGGCCTATACTCAGAAAGATGACAATAAAAAGTGTGGACAAAGATATGGAAAAGTTAGAATTATACACTTCTGGTGGGAATGTAAAATGGTGCAGGTCTTTTGGAAAAGAGTCTGACGGTTTCTCAAAAGGCTAAACACAGAGTTACCATATGACCTAATAATTCTATTCACAGGTAAATACCCAGGAAAACTGGGAATGCCTGTCTACAAAAACAAACAAGCAAACAAAAAATCTTGGACATGAATGCTCATAGCAGCATCTTTCCTGAGAGTCAAAAAGTGTAAACAGCACAAATGATGAACAGATGGATAAAATGTAGTATAAGCCATTCAGTAGAATATTTTTGGCAATGGAAAGAAATGAAGTACTGATACACACTACAACATGGATGAACCTTGAACACATTATGTTTGTAAAAGGAGTCAGTCAGAAAAGACCTATTGTATGATTCCATTTCTGTGAAATTGTCCAGAAGGGGCACATTCATACATAGAGAAAGTAGATTATTGATTGCCTAGGGCAGAGAACGGTGTGGGGATGCAGGGAATAACTGTTAATAGGTAAGGAGTTTTTGAGATGATGAAAGTGTTCTAAAATTGATTATATTGATGGTTTCATAACTGTGGATATACTAAAAACCACTGACAGTAAAACCACTCTAAACAGGTAAATTGTATATAGTACATGGATTATGTCTCAGTTAAACATCCTGCTTTATCTCTCAAAGAATTTTTTTAAACATAGATCAATTATAATTTCCAAAGTATCTTGGGATTTTTACCCCCAAATTGAAATGTAATTCAAATTCCCTGGATTTTTTTCTGTAAAGCCTCATATACCTGAATAAAGAAATTAGCCCTTAATAATGAATGGAGAAAGCCAATGTAGACTTTGGTGTACTGTATCTTCCCCCCTGCACCCCCACCCCCGCCACTTTCAGGCTTTGAGCTGTCTTCCTTTATCCTGTACCTAATCCATGCCCTAAGAGGTCCCAATACTCATTCATACTGAGGTGTAAGTTACTGATAACAATGTTAATGTTACTTACAACAAGTAAATTTCTTCTTAAAATAGAACTAAACTTCTACTAAGGAGAATATGTCTTTTTTTTAAATTTTTTATTTTTAGAGAGGGAAGGGAAGGAGAGAGAGAGAGAGAGAAACATCAATGTGTGGTTGCTGGGGGTCATGGCCTGCAACCCAGTCATGTACCCTGTCTGGGAATTGAACCTGCAATACTTTGGTTCTCAGCCCATGCTCAATCCACTGAGCTATGCCAGCCAGGGCTGAGAATATGTCTTAACAGGGAGATTCTAGGCATGAGTTAGCAACAATGAGAGACTCTAAGCCATGTCATCCAATAGCTGCTTCTTTCTGCTGCTCTATCCCCCTGGCCACACAGATATTCAGTAAGGCTGGGCCTAATTCGAGGAGGAAAAGCCATACATTGGGGAGCTGCTTATATTGATATATCATTAGTGTGGGTAACAAAAAAAGTCCCTTGGGGAGTTCTGTCCTCTTCTGGGTCCTGTTTGGAGTAACACATGGGTGTTCTGTACTCTGGGAAGCCTGTTTTGAATCCCAGTCTGCATTCATTGGCTGTGTCACTGGGTAGGTTATAAGCTCTCCAACATTCAACTTCTTCATCTGTAGAATGGGGACAATGGCACTGCAGCAGCTCCTCTTGATGCCTGATCCCATGTCCTCTTAGCTCACCTTTGGGTTTACCATCATGGACAATTCCCACACATACTGCCCCTCTGTCTTCTTCTCTGCTAGGCATCTTTGCCATGTGAACTCCCAGGGCCCACTTGCATCCCTCTGTGGGACACTCTGAGGTGCATTCCACACATTTCATCAGAGAATCCCCAGCAAGATTGAACCCCATTGTTCACAGAGTTAACATCCTCCTGAATGTACCCTTTATTGCTTTTCTGTCCTCTCTGTCTCACTTACCCTACATACTCACTGGTGCTTCCTGAGATCATTTTACAAAACTCCTGGCTCCTGGTCTCAGAGAATCTGCTTTGGTGAGAACAAGTAAGGTAAGTACCTACCATAGCTTTGCTGTGTCCATCAAAGCAGAATCATAAAGCTGAGCCTTGTAGGGTGCTTATTTATACAGGAGACAACAAAACAAGTGGGAAGTTAGCCTTTTACTAATACCACTGCTTAAAGTTTACCACACCTTATTCACATCAAAATTCTCCTGCACAGGAGGGGTCGGGCACTTCCCAAGATGGAATGCTTGTCCCTCCGCTGCACCAAAGAGTCCAGCCAGTGCCGAAAACTGTAGCAGCAGCAGCAGCAGCGCCATCACCATCTTGGGGGCTGGTGGCTGGGATTAGAACCTGAAATTGAAGTAAACAAAGCAGCTGGCATCTTCTCTGCTATCACAGAAAAAAGGTTTCTCGGCTGGCAGGTCCCCTCCGCGGGCAATCCTTCCCTTTGCCCCGTGTGAACCCCTCATCCTCCAGGGCCACCTGAACTGTCAGCACTGCTGTGTAGTTCTCTCCCGTGCGAGCCTCTCTCTAGGCCCTTTGCCCCTGCATTAGAGTACATTCTGTGTGGAGCTGGAGTTTGTTGGATTTACTTTGCATCCTCTCCCCCTCACCTAACTGGCCATTTTTCAAGGGTGGACACTGTGTCTGATTCTTCCTGGACTCTCTCCCACAGAACCTTGTAGTGTCAGTCACAGTAGATACTTGAGTGAACAGAAACGATGTTGGGGCAGGTGGACAGGCAAAGGGAGAGATATTGAAGCTGTCAAGTTAATCATGAGAGAGAAAAAAATGAAAACAAACCACACATAACATTTAGTATCTTATGAGATTCATACAGAAATGCCTCCCTGACCCTAGCTCCGCCCCCTGCCCCAGTCTCACTGGGCTGTTTACCAACACAGGAGGGGGTGCATTCCACACATTTCCTCCCAGAATCCCGCTGCTCCTGACCTGACTGGGTTTTTTAATTTGGGCTTTACACATACGAAGTATAACAATGTCCAATTTATGCTTTAGTTTCCTGGTCTATTTATTAAGTGGAAATACTAATCATATCCAGCTCATGAAGTTTTGTGGTAATTAAATGAGAAAATCGAGAAAGAGTATTTAGAGCAGCGTCTGACAGAGAAAATGCTCAATAAATGCTAGTTACTGTTACTATGAAAAGCAGAAACAAATTATTGTTTCCTGAATTCATTTATTTATTTATTACATTTTATTGGGGATATATTTCATAGACGTGTATTTAACTTGAGAAAAACTGGTAGCTTGCATGAAACTTTGTAACAAGCATTTCTGCCCAAAGTGCCCTTCCAGCAGCGGAGGCTGCTCTGAGTAGGGGCGGTAGGCAGGGGTGGGGGGCTGCAGGGCTGTGGGCAGGGTCTCAGCTCCCGGTTGTTCCCTGCTTCTCTCACTGACTTGCTTTCAGTTTGCTCTCTTCCATGTGACTCTCTGCCTGTCACTGTATGACAGCTACATCCAGCACTTTGTCTTTCTCCCTGTGAGGAGGAGGACTGAATCAATGTGAGCAAAATGTTCTCAGATCTGAGCATTTAAAAGGATGTGTCAAAATAAGAATAATTATAACCACTTTATTATGAGTCTCCAAACCTTCAAATAACGTTTAATGATCAATAACTTTTCTTCTGGAGGTTTTTTGGCTAGTTTTCAAAAGAAAAATTATACAATGAATAGAAGCTGACAGAGGCGGGTGGTCACTGAGCAAGTCTGCAGAGAAGGGGATAAAGCCACCTTTATCTCTCCTTCAGTCTCCGAGGTTCCATTTCCCATCAGCCCTACCACGATGTAAGAAACACCTTTCTTTTCACCTTTCCTGATGGATTTGCAGAAACCCAGACTAAACCTACAAAAATTCGCATCCTTTTCCAAGAGACTCTCAGAACCACTGGAACTCTACTCTTGACCCCCCTGGGGGACACATTCAGCACCTTGCCCAAAAGATCTAACCTCAAAGGAGGGCCACATATTCTGTACATTCTACTGGGTCTTTAAAACTGGACAGGACCCTAGAGGACATTTACCCAACCCTTCCCTCCAGGTGTACAGATGGGGAAGCTGGGGCTCAGAAGGGCAGAGAGATAGGACTCAGTCCCCATCTCCAGCTGTCCATTCCGAAGCTCCCCTGGGTCACACTTCCTATGCATACCTCCCTTAACCTGATGAGTCTTGCTTCATTACATGACAGATACACCAAAAGTCAGTTCTATGTCTTACTCTGACAACTACCTTATTGATACAGGGTGCAGCTAAGGGGGTCCCCAAATAGGGATTTGTAATGGGGTCCAGAACGCAGTGTGTCCAGAAATATTAAATACATATATATAAGATATCTGCACCCCAACAAGTCTGATCTAGGGGATGGAACACATGGAGCAGGGCCATTGAGAGCTGTTTTGCTTAGCAACAGTTTTGCAGCTAACCTCTGGCCTGGTCATTTAACAAATCATTTAACTTTTAACTGGTTTCATGGATATGTTACATAGCTGTGGCCATGCTTTGAGCCAGGGAGATGGGAGTGACTTCGACTCAGGATGTAACTGGGAAGCAACTCCCTCTGGTTACTGGGCCTGCAATCTCTCTGGATACTGAGAGAGAAAAGAAGGAAGTTTGGGACTCACACGACATTGGAGTAAGTTGGGGCCCACGTGACTCTGGGGAAAGTTGGGACCACACAACTTTGGTGAAAGGCAGAGGGACCACATGGCTTTGTCGAAAGTCAGGACCACACAGCTTTGGGGTGCGCCCTTTTGTCACATGGCTTAGGAAGCAGAAGAGACCTTGCTGGGAAGGAAAGGGGTGAAAGGACTCTTGCTGGTGTGCCATGAGAAGGTGCCGCATGGATTTGGATTAACTGGAGATCTCAGCGTCATGGTGCTGGGAGCTGAGGGGCTTTTTTTTTTTTTAAGGTTTTATTTATTTATTTCTAGAGAGGGAAGGGAGGGAGAAAGAGAAAGAGAGAGAAACATCAATGTGCGGTCGCTGGGGGCCATGGCCTGCAACCCAGGCATGTACCCTGACTGGGAATCGAACCTGCGACAGCTGAGGGGCTTTTTGAGCCACAGACTTCTACTTCTTTTCCTGAGGTATGGTACCCCGGACTGGGCAGAGGGAGAAAGAAGGACTGCGTGCATTTGTGGGTATTCTAAAGGACTTTAGTATTTTAATGAGAACATTAAGTCATTACTCTAAGTCTGTATAACTTTTTAAATAAATAATTATTTTCCTTTTCACCAATCTCTGGCATTGAAAGATTTTTTTTCCTGGCAGTGGGCAAGGCAAACATAGTATGGGGAGGGGACACCTGTAGCACAAGGAGGGGTTCCACTCAGTAGTAGTATATCATTCTCTAGTCGGCGCCCCCCGCCCCCCCCAGTTCTGTTCTGTAACTTTATTACAAAATGTTCTATTGTGGGTTGATACTTTTTTTTTTAAAGTTCTGTAGGAGGATTTCAGAGCAAGGCTAATTTGCCTTGATTGTATCTGTTCCAAAGATGCCTGTTTAGTGCAGTAATTTTCTTCCAATAGGTAAAACTTTTTTTTGTGAAAGGGCTGTTAGCATCCATAATTTTTTATGGTTGCCCCTTCCATTCTAATTCACCCAACACTAACTGATTGCCACTGAGGGTAAATCTATTATTAACATGTACCTATGAACTTGGGTATATAAGATATTTTTTGCATTTTCTAATTAATATCAGTGAGAAGATTGAACTAATGATGAAAGTTTAAATACTTTTTAAAATAAATGTAATTTTATAATTATTTTAACTGAATAGTAAATAATTTCAAACTAATTCTACTAAGGTGCATCTACTGGGTCAACACTGACTCTGAGACTCACTGGCCATACTCATTGACCTTCCCCATCCAGAAGCCCTGGCCTCAGTATTTTTCATGTTCCAGGCATCGAATTTCCACAACATCCTGTCTGGAAGGGTCCTGCCCTGACCTCTTTGTACTCAGTGAGGTTAATTTGCCCAGGTTACTTCCTTATGCCAACAGATCTCCTAAGACTCTGCAGTCCTAACACCTGCGTGTTAGCGTAGACCTAGTCTCTGATCTCAAGAAGCTGCAGAACATTAAGGACTAGATTTTTAGATTTCACATAATAAAATATAATACATTTCCACAAGTAAATGGCTAAATGGCTAAACCCATTTAGCTATTGAACCTAACAAGAAAATATATTATCTTCTGAAGAACATATTTTTGTGCCATGTTTTTAAAAAAGTATTTTATTTATTTATTTTTTAGAGAGAGGGGAAGAAAGGGAGAGAAACATTGATTGGTTGCCTCTCACATGCCCCAACCAGAGACCTGAGCTGCAGCCCATGCAGGTGCCCTGACCAGGAATCTAACTGGTGACCTTTAGATTTGTAGGACAACACCCATCCACTGAGCCACACCAGTCAGGGCCATGTACCATATTGTTAAGTGCATTTTATATCAACAGAATGAATTCCAGTTCATTTTTCACTATTTTACTGTAATGCACATTTGGATAACAAGTGTCTGAGAATTCATCTAGTACAGTATTAGTGTATGAAAAGTCCTCTCATTGATTCATATAGTACAGAGAGACTGCATTGTGCAGGCAGAAGATTTTGAGGGGAGTCAACATTGTGCTGGCACCCAGCTCTGGCATTTGGTGGAGGTCTTGCCTTATGCCAGTTGCATAAATTATCTAATCCTCAGTTTCCGCATCTGAAAAATGGCACTAATAATATCTACATATTTTTACGTGCATAATGCACACTTTTTTGTCCAAATTTTTGAGGGAAAAATACGAATGTGCTTTATACATTGGTATAATGATTATACACCATGGGTATAATAATGGGCACAATAATCCCACGTATAATGTACACAAAAATGTGGGTATGCATTATACATGGCAAAATGCAGAACCTTGTAAGTTTTTTAGAGGAAAAATGAAGCCAAGTTTGCAAAGCTACTGGCACCAACTCTCAGTTGTGTTAGTTAATTGGCCTTCTTGGTGCAGTGGGCAGTGCATCAGTCTCATAATCGTGTTAGTTATAATTGTTAGCTGAAAACGGGCAATTGAAAGTCAAGACTGTCTCTATTTTAAGCATTATTTATCCTAAATAAAAATTAAAAGTACAGTACATACCTTTTTATTGAGATGAAGGCAATTTCCACATGCAAAATTATCCAATTTGAGATGCCTTGTGTCGGTAACTGGCTTCTCCCAAGTTGTTTTATAAGCTCCACTGGGTCATTGCTGTTTAATTTTAATGCATGTCAAACCCCCTAGAGTTCAGGAAGGCTGGACTAAAAGCTTAGCTCTGTGTAAACACAAAGATGTAGTGTTTTGTTCTTTTTCCTCCCCCAATTTCCTTCACAGCTGCTCCCTGAAGAAGAAACAATGAGATATTGTTTGTGTGTATATGAAAGACAAAGTACATTTATTTTCCTTTCTATTGAATTTATTGGGGTGACACTGGTTAACAAAATTCTATAGAGACAAACTGCATGTCATTCAAAACATCTTTTTTTGCTATGTAGATTTCCTAATTTAATTTTCTCAGTCAAATTGCACTTTTAAATTCCAGTAAGTTGCAATATATTTTCAAATATCTGGTATTTATTTTTCATTTTTGTGTAAATGAAAAATCAACAATCCTATTTCCTGAAATGGAGCATGAATTTCACCCCATGTGGTCCCTGGCCTGGAATGTGGCTCAGGCAACAGAATGAAGGTTAGGAATTGAAGTCAACTTTCTATGTGATTTTGGGCATGCCACTCACTTCGTTGAGCCTCAGTCTCCCCACTGTGAGATACAGACAGTCATTTGTCTCCATCAGTGCTGGGAGTATAGAGTAGATATCAGTTTTGCAACAGGGCTAAAAGCTGAGAATGCAGCTCTTCTCTCTGTACCTTTGATCACCCTCCCAGATAAATATTTTAGACAATCTGTTGCTTCGATTGGGGTTATGAGGTAAGGGTGAAGATTTTAGTTCAAGGTCACTTCTGGTTGGGCCTAATCTCTCTCTGTGGAATGAACAGCTAAGACTCTTATGAGGTGGATTCTATGTTTCTATGATAGGTGGAAGGTATTTTTAGAGGCATATATATGACAGTACCTTTGTAGTAGACTTGTAACAGGGTGTAGAGCAGTGGTTCCCTGAAAATAGCAGAGCGTATCCCCCACAACCCTTGATTGGAGGAAAGGGGAAATAAATGATACAATGTTAAAGATACTCTGCATAACAATGGCAAGTTAATAGCTGTGCCTTTCCTGATGGAAACAGGACTGCTGCCCAGTGAAAGGTGTACCTGACTTGACTGTAAGAGCATATAGTGACTCATGACACAGCCAGGGCAGGCGGGCACTTACCCCTAATGCCCCTGTGTCACCGGGAACTCTTATCCTGACTAAAGACGGCAGCGGAAAGAAGGTAAACAAGACACGGGGAACCTGGCAACAATAGCAGACACTAACACATTATAGGAGGGGCCAGACATGAGGTCACGTAGGAAGTTCCAGGCTAAGCTTCTAAATGAGGGTGGGCTGAAGGAGAATGGAGCCCATCATGAGGTCAGGCATCTAAGGAGGAAGCCACCCAGTTTGGAATAAGAGCATGCCATAAGGTCTGGAGTAAGAAAGAGGAGGCTTGCTGGGCAGCCTGAAGATGGCAGAAGAGCTGATGGAGCTGCATGGGGACCTGACAAGCCAAGCATGGATTCTTGAGGGATGTTAGGGGCTGAAATGTGACCAGTAACGCTCAGTTGCAGATTTCTGCTTTTCTGAAAGAGGGACCTTCAAGTGTCATATTCTGAAACCAGCCTGGGTTGGTAAAGAGAGGCAGGATCATGTGTTTTTTGGGTGTTTTAAAAGGAGTAGAATTTAATGGCAGAAATCTGCCATTATGAAACTGGAAAAGACACCGGCGTTTGGCCTGTCACTACCAAATCCAATAAGCAATGACAGTGATTGAATCTTTTATGGGTACTTTATTCACATGGCCAGTGATCTGAGAAGATGGTGGGTTCATACCCTAACAAACCATCTTCCCTTCTCTTTCCTGGCCAGATCTTTTATAAGGGGGGTGGGGGAGGACAACAAGGTATGGTGAGGGCTTTGAGATTCAGAAGCTGCAACATTTCTGTCTTGGGCAGTTAGCTGTTTCTAAGGGGGAGGGGTGGTCCCCTGCTCTTCCTGGAACAAAGGTTCAGATGTCCCAAGGAGGTAACCCTCTATCAGTGCCCCAGGAGGCTGGTTGCTTTTCCCAGGAGCCAGGATGGGCCTTATCTATAGTTTCTGAAACAAAAGCTTAACATACACATTACTTGCTAGACATACAGCTTTTTACCTTAAGCTAATATTTTCCAAGTTTTGAGTCCCCTATCAATTATTCTAAAATTGTATAACCTTTAAATAAACAATTCCTTTTCTTTTTAACCAAACTCTTATAATCAGAGTCATTCTGATAGGGGACTCAAAACTTGGAAAATTTTAGCTTAAGATAAAAAGCTGTAAATCTAGCAAGTAATGTGTATGTTAAGCTTTTGTTTCAGAAACTATAGATAAGTAGCGGACCTCCTGGGGCACTGGCTAGATTTAACAGCCTGGGGATGAGTTGGAGGCATCAGGGCCTTTTGTGTGACCCCCTCCCCTGCCTTGGGAACAGCTAACTGCTGGGAACAGGAATGCTGCAGCTTCACTCACCTAATCCTCCCTGAATTTCAAAGCCCTCACCACACCTTGCTTGTCTTCCCCCACCCCCTTATAAAAGATCTGGCCAGGAAAGAGAAGGCAAGACGGTTTGTTAGGGTATGAACACACCATCTTCTCAGATCGCGGGCCATCTGAATAAAACGCCCATAAAAGATTCAATCGCTGTCATTGCTTATTGGATTTGGTAGTGACGGGCAGCCCGAACGCTGGTGTCTTTTCCAGTTACATATCTTGGCGACTCCATGCCAGGACAGACTTTGGGACTCTCCGGTAAGTCTGGGTATTTGGCGGGGAGTCCCATTGGTTGCCTGGACTGAGAGGCCATGGGGGCTTGGAGTCAGAGAATCCCAAGCAGCTGCCAAGTGATTTCACTTGGGGATTCTCACCCCTTGCTCCCAGCACCTCTCGTGGTGCATCACACTGGATTGAATCGTTGTGCTTTCTGGTTCAGGTTGAAATCCCGGGTCACAATTTAGGTCATCTGCTCTGTTTGGGTACTGTCTGTCTGGAGCTCCGTCTGGTCTGAAAGTGTCACAGGTGTGCACAGGTAACCAGGTTCTTAGTGATCGAGGACAAAGAATTGAACCGAACACACAAAGTTTATAGCATAAAGAAAGAAGGAAGATTTATTAAGCGATAGTCCACTCCACAGAACATGGGAATGGGCTAACTCTGAGCAGAGATAGAACATGTGGGCTGGGGGGATTCTATTCTTAGCAGAAGCTCCCTCGCTAATCTTTGGCGGGCTTTTCCTGTGCAGGTACAAGTTGGATTTCAAAGCTACTGCGCATGTGTGGTTTCCCATGGTTTTCTTGATTGGCTACTGGAGAAGGGAGTCCCACAATGTTAATTCATTATATTATAATGAATCAGGGGTAGTGTGCAGGCTCATTCCATGATTCAGAGTTATCCCAGAAAACAGGAACAACCAGTCTTAGGGGGTCTTTATCATGTGTAGATGTTTTTTACCTCAGCCCTGCCGGGCCTCTGGAGTTTCCTTCCTGACTATCTCCTGCCTCAAAAGGGGCATGTTCTGGTCCAAAAGGACTTCTGTTTGGAGCTCTGTGGAGTTCCGTGTGGCAGAATGGGAGAAAAGCCTCCATTCCTCGAAATGGCCTTTTGGGCCAGTTCTAATTCGTCGACCGAAGAGTGTATATCGAAAGCATATGTTGTTTTGTTGTAGTACTGTTCTGTTTGTGTCCTGTATAACTTAGACTCAGGAGAGCACTGGTCACTGAATAGGTCTTTAAATTACTGTATTATACTGTAACTAGAGTTGTTCTGTCAAAAATCAGGGAAGTGGGATAAATTGCCTTATCTAGAAGTTTTTGGGTTTACATGATAAAGATGCATGCAGAGTTGAAAAGAAAACAAGGGGAAAAATAAGTTAATGGCTCAGAGAAAAGAGAATTTACATATGAAAGATAGAAGGTCAGAGGAGAGGGGCCAGGAAGATCTAGATATTATGACCTCTGCAAGCTGGTCCCGAGTTCCTGCAGCCCCAGGGAATCCACTCCTATGAGTGAAATGGGAAAAGTGCGCCTAAACTGGCATTGCTGTCTTCAATCGGTCAAAGGACCAGATTTGGTGGAGGAAAAGCCCCTATCAGGGCAGGGCAATATCCTTTTTGGAGACTTTCAGTGGGAGTAAGGCCAGAAGGCCAGTCTGCTAGATGTTATTTGGCACATACTGTTTTCTACATTGGATCTGTTAAACTGGAAAAGCTCAAACCTTTCTTATGGATATAACCCTGCTAAAATGACTGATTTGGTTGTGTCAGTTTTTGCCACTTATCATCTGAATTGGGCAGACATAGGAGCCTTATTGAATTCTTTGCTTCAGTAAGGGGGATGAGCAGAGGCTGGTGTTGGATAAGGCAAATGAAGAGGCCCGGAAGTTACACCAAGAAAACCCAGATGGGGCTCTGGGCCTTCCCAGGGCAATACCTGTAACTGAGCCCAACTGGGACCCTAAAGGGGATGGCCTTTCTCTCTTAGAGCATTATAAGAGATGCCTCCTTGAGGGAATGGGGACAGGCATCCCTGAGCAGAAAAGTCTGAGTATGGTGCAGGCCGTGCAACAAAAGTCCACAGAAGCCCCCTCCCAACACCAGGAAACAGTTAAGGAGATTCCTGGGGATGGCAAGTGACTGCTACATTTGAATTCCAAGCTTTGGGCTCACTGCTAATCCACTGTATTAGGCTCTGAAGGGACCAGAACATAGCCCTTTAGAATGGACAAAGGAGCGCACTCAGGCTTTTGAGTCCCTGAAAGTGCACCTGGCTTCAGCACCAGCCTTGGGGCTTTCAAACCTACTGAAGCCCTTTCAATGATATGTGTGTGAGAAACAGGGCATTGCCCTAGAATTCCTCACCCAAATGCTTAGTGACATTTGCAGTCCATCGCATAATTGTTAAGGAAATTAAGTCACACTGTCCGGGGGGGCCAGCCTGCTTGAGAGTGGCAGCCACCTGCGAGCTCTTGGAGGAAGCTGAAAAAGTTTGCCTTGGGGCAGCCTATGCCAGTTATGTGTTGAAGCAAG